AGCATAGTATTCCATTGTGTGAATATACCACAACTTCTCTATCCATTCATTTATTGATGGGCACTTAGGTTGTTTCCAACTCCTTGCTATTGTGAAAAAAGCTGTGATGAACATGGGTGTGCATATATCTGCTTGGATGTCAGTTATGGTCTCTTTAGGGTATATTCCCAATAGTGGAATTGCTGGGTCAAATGGTCAATCACTTATTTTTAAGTGGGTAGTCAGGAGCTAAACATACATTCAAGTCTTGAACGCCACAGTTCTTAGAATATAAAATACTATGGAATTAATCAGAAAGCCCAACATCCATCATTTCTGAGAAAAAAAATTAAAAATTTTAGCTCTGTTCAATAGTTTATCTCAGTCTATATACTGAACAAATATTTCAACACTTTTTCTTTTTGTTTCTTATGTCAAAACTGAATATATATTCAAGTTATACTGATGTAGATACTCAGGCAATGTATGTTACTTCTGTTTATAGTAAAAACCCTAAAAGAAGTATGAAAACATGCAGTTTAGCCACACAATAGAATACTATGCAGCACTCAGGAGTAACAATTTTGAAAATTTCTACATAATTTGGGAAAGGCTGTAGAGCATTATGCTGAGTGAACTAATTGAATCTCATAAGGAAAAATACTGCATAAGACTACTATTGTAAAAACAGATAGCTAGTAAGATATGTAATAAAGTCCAAAGGGGGAATGGGAGAAGGCAGGAAGCCTGAGGGTGGGGAGGAGGGGAAATCACAGAGGTACAGAGTTTGGTGGGTGGAGAGAGGGGGTGGTAAAGGAATTAGGAAATATTCAGTGGGGACCTGAAAAAATGGGTGAACAGTAGGCATAAATTAATGGTGATTAGCTTTGATAAATAGCGACAGTTATAGAAAGGCTTCAGGTCTTTTGTTCATAGGGTCGCTATGAGTTGTGTTCAACTCAACAGCAATTAATAGCAAAAATAATTTTATAAAATACAATGTATGAAAAAAATACAATGTATGGGAATGATCATAAGAAACACAATGTGAACAAAGAAAAGTGCTAAACATAATGTATACGAGCAAAACACATGGATATGAATTTTGTATGCAAACCAATAGCAAGCTAAAAAAAATTACAAAAACATTAATTTTAAGAGAGAAGTGGTATAAACTCATAGATATCAGTATAAGATCTATAGCTAGATGAATCCTAGCTCTAACACTTCCTATGTTTGTGACTTGGGGCAGATTATGCTTCCTTTCCTCAAATATAAAATGGCAATAACAGAACTTGTCCCTACAATGGATGGCTTTCAAATACATAATGAACCAAGTATACCTACTGCCTGGCATATACAATCAGCTCAATAATATAAATTACTGTTATTTATTATTCTTTGTTGAATTCTACAGAAAAAAATCTAAAGTTTAATAAAAGAAGTTATCTTCTTTCAGTTCAGAAAAGGAAAGTTAAGACTTCAATGTTAACAGTAACTTTAAAATTATAGCAAAACTTCAATTTAAAGAAAAGAGAAACAGCAAACCTTTGAACGTCATTTCCATTGAAATAAAAAAATCCATAATCTACAAATTTCTGGACTTGAGGTTTAAGAATACTATGTAATTTTTCTGCCTTTCCTCCTTTAACCATTTGATGATAGTCAAAATTCACCATCTGGATATCAGTGGCATGTTCAGAAGCTTTCAAGTGACTCTGAAAGTAAAGAACAAATATTCACTTAGATGTTAATTGAACGTAATTTAACAATATACTACAAATGGAACTGTTATCTATTAAAGTCCCCGCATGGCCTCAAACTAATCCTGTCACAAAGCTCTGACTGACACCTGCAGTAAAATGCAAAACTGGAACTTTGGACAGAACCTTGATAGTAGATTTTTCCAATACAAAACATTTTTTTATATTATTATTATTATTATTAGTTTATTTAC